GAAAGGCCTGAAAGGGCAAACATGCATTTTATGGCTATGAAAAAGTCGAGAAAACACTCTGGTTTTGTCATTTATTCTTATTTTAAAGACAGTACATTTTTATAGACTTTGCATTTTCTGTTCTGCTGTTCTAAGTATTATATCTATACTATATCCATTTTCCTTTGTCATAATATACAATTTTACTAAGGGGCACAATATTAGTCTACCTAGATGTGCCCCTCTCCTACTTAGTATTATTTCATTTTCTGTAATTAATAGTGTTTGTAATTAATGCTAAGTGGAGAAAAAATAAAGTGCAAATACAAATACAGTGCATTTTCAGCAATTAAAAGGGCTAAAAAGTTCTAAACTAGGTTTGTGAAAGGGGTACCATTTGTCAATGGAAGGTGTATGAAAGGAGTTACTTTTCTTTCAAAAATGGTATTTAAAAGGGTAAGAGGTGGATCTCAGGGCGGAGCCTCCCCGTATAAAACTTTGTTGAGTACCCCCCGGGAGACATACCTCCATGTTCAGAAAGAGTTCCTCCACTACTATAGCAAATTAAGCTTAAACACTTTGAAAGCAAGTAAAAAACCCTTTGGAATTGCTTGTGAACAAGCTTTTTATATAGTAAGACAAGATTATTTTCTTTTTTGAATGTTTAAGTGAGTGATCTCAAACCTAGAAATTTTAGTACATTATTATTTTCCGTAACCCTGAGAGACTCAGCTTTACAATTGTTAGGAAAATTGCTGACGTACGATGTCCTGAAGAATCGTTGGTGCGAGAACATTGGAAGGCCTCATAAAAGTAACCACATCATGTAAGACTCCATAATTTGTCAATGTATTTTCTTTTTAAAGGAAATGTGTCACGAGACTTATAAAAATTCAAATAGTCCGGGGCACCCAATGACAATTTTCGGAAAATATCTGTTCGGAAGACGATTTGCGATCTAGAATTTTCGGAACATTCGTTGTAAAATTTCTTGCTTGCCTGCCTCTCCCTGGATTTTCGAACATCTGAAAAATGGTATAATTGCCTATTTTTAACGGATTTTTACCCTAAAAAGGTCACCTAGAATTTTCGGGAGCCTTTTTTCTGGCTAGAATTTTCGAAAAGGTAAGTTTTGATCCCTATAAGTTTCGGATCACTAGACTTTCAGCTAGGAAATCCGAACAGATGAAAAATTTTTAGGGGATAAAAATATGCCTATATCTACCGTTTAAGTACTAAAATACGTTTAATTACAATTCGCGCCAAATTATTTGTTTAGAGTAGTTCTTGTTAACATTGTTTTATTTCCATTGACTTTATAAATATTTTTAGCACTTTTTACATTTTTACATATTTTATCACATTTTAGCGTTCACCACATTTTTATCTATTATAACTTGTTTTTAACTTATTTATGCTAATTTAGAGAACTTTTATACACTTGAAAATGACCTCGGAGAGGTCGAAACGTCGTGATTTTTTTATCGCTAATATTTATCTCAAGAACGTTTAACAATGCTATGTTAAAGTGGTTTTGAACTATATTCTCGTTGGGTGCCCCTGAACAGTGCGAGAGCTGCTAGCAAATTGAGTGGGGCTTAAAAATATTGGCTCAAAATAACAGAGCAAATACTAAAGAAGGTACTGATAGACAAACTTGAAGAAGATTAAAACGGATTACAAATGCGGTTTAAGTTAAAGGCAACTCTGGTTTAACCGAAGAAAGCAGTTGACCTACAACGTAGGCGAGCAAATTGACTGAGGGACGGGGGTTGGGGAACAGAAGGGACTTGTCCCTACCCTGGAGAGTCGAAAACCTGTTTGCTGCCCTACTAAATAGCACAATTATTTCTTTCGAGAGTTTGAGGGTAATACTGTTGTTTTAAGGTTTGTAGTTCTCCTTTCGAGTGTCTGGAAACAAGTTATAGATACAAACATAACCCGCTGAGCGTTAGTTCTTAGTTGTTCGGGATTGATGTTATACAGTGCTACGTTGTGGCGAAATAGAAACCGATCAGTTTTGTGTCTTCTCCCCTTTTTACCTTATTGATTTTATTTTTGCTTTTTAGGATTGTTGTTGACTTGAGGCATGGCGTTTATTATCAAAAGTGTCATGACCCCGATTGTAAGCGCACTGATTATCGGTCTCCTGGTATGTATGTATAGTACGCGTGCAAGGAACAAGTTTCCCTTCCCAGTTATATTGGCTTATCTTTCCGCCAGCAGACGACGTGAAAATTCTTTGGACAACTTGTCCCAGTTTTTTTCGTGATCTATACAGACACAATTTTCCAGAAGCTGTTTATATAATATGAATTTTCAATAATTTGATGTTTATTTTTCACATTTGGATTAGAATCATCTTTTCGACGTTTCGATTATAAAAATACGTCAAAGTCACATGTTTTTTTGTTGGTCTTTCTTGTTTCCAGAACGTCCTATACCTGATGAGATTAATCCACTGTCACGTACTCAGGTACCTTAATTGTTGCTCGTCTATGGTGTACTTTCTTTCCACCGTGAAGTTCCCAACGTAACTCTGAATTAGCAGTCTTTTAGGGAGCGCTCACTCTCGAGGACTTCCTACCGAGCAGTCCTCTATTCAGACGTAACAGAATTGGTCAGATCAAGACGATGCCTGTGATGCGGTACAAATAGGGAGCTTAAGCAACGAGAACGAGAAGGGGCAAAAAAGCAAAGGCTTAGATTGGCAAAACAACAGCTCCGCTCGTGCATCACGCTTTTTTTAAACATTTCTTTGTCCTCACTGCATGACTACGACGTCAAAATACCTAATTTCACGTTTTATGAAAGAACGTGAACTCAAGACAACGACTTTATTTTTCTTTTTCTGAACTTTCATACAGTCTTTTAGAATTCAACTCCACAGAAAATTGCCAGCATTTGATGAATTGAACGAGATGTAATAAGCGCGATTAAGTTTGAAGCAGCGCGACTTTACTTTTTAAGTGACGTTTTCGTAGCCGTCGCCGTCGCTGTTGCTTAAAGGTGATGTTACACGCGACGATTCGCAACGACAATTTTTAGCGCAACCCAGTGTTGCAATGTTGGAACAATGTTGTGACCATTCGAAACAATGTCGAAACAATGTTGCAACGCTGTGTTGCGCTNGTAGCCGTCGCCGTCGCTGTTGCTTAAAGGTGATGTTACACGCGACGATTCGCAACGACAATTTTTAGCGCAACCCAGTGTTGCAATGTTGGAACAATGTTGTGACCATTCGAAACAATGTCGAAACAATGTTGCAACGCTGTGTTGCGCTAAAAATCGTCGTTGCGAATCGTCTCGTGTAACATCACCTTTAGCTCCCTAATATGGTTTAAACCCGGGGAAAAAAGGTGATGTTATACGAGTCGTTTTGCAACGACGATTTTTAGCGCAACACAGCATTGCAGCATTGTTGCGACATTGTTTCGTATAGTTAAAACACTGCTCCAACATCGCAACGCTGTGTTGCGCTAAAGATCGTCGTTGCGAATCGTCCCTTATAATATCAGCTTAATACCCTACAGAGTACTAGATCACTAAGAGCAATAAAAAAGTATAATCACTTCTTTGCCATTTACATATATTGTTTGTATGCAGTGGTTGGTGGTATCCCTTGACTGACGCTTCTCCCTTAGTCGCTTCTTCTGACTTCTGATAAAAAAAGAATGAATTAATGAATAAAATTGTCGCTTCGCTCGCGAATGGTTCATTTTTGGATGCGATAGTAGTATAGGGCGCAACGGTTACTACTTTTTGCGGAGAAATCTCTTTTCTCTGTGGAGGAATATATTAACACCTATGACGTTATAGAGTTTTGTCTTCATCACAGGAATGAAATGCGGAGGAATCCCTTTAATTAAGATAAGGTGATCTTAAAGTACCTATAAATAGCACAACCTTATCTTAATGAGATTCCTTCGCATTTCCTTCATGAAATAAATGTCTTGATTCGGCGTTAAGGTGATGTTACACGAGACGATTTGCAACGACGATTTTCAGAGCAAGATAGCGTTGCAATGTTGGAACAATGTTACAACCATTCGAAACAATGTCGCAATAATGCTGTAATGCTGTCTTGTGCCAAAAATCGTTGTTGCGAATTGTGTAATTTACACGAGACGATTCGCAACACAAATGCGATCCTTACTACATTTGTGACCTTCCCCGTATTATATTTGTGACCGGTTTTTTACATATGGCACCAATTCGTCATAACATTTGGGACCCTTATGACATTTGCAACCAATTCCTTATTATATTTTTCACCAGTTATTACATTTGGAACCTCAACAGGGCTTTAGTCTTTTTTCCCCTTATTTAATGAACTGTTTATTATGCTCATAAGCATTTCTACGTCTTAGTTCTAGTTTTGCAGCTGTCTCTTCCAGATGAAAGAAGGGAGTAGCTGCTAAGCTTCTTCGTTTTCAACAGAGTCCTTTTTTTCCTTTCAGTATGAAGAGTTCTTCGGTTCTGAAGGTGACGATCAAGAGCTTTGTAACGCTGCAGCTGACTTTGAAAAACAGGAATGTGACGATATGAGTCGCAGCCTCTGCAGTTTTCCAAAATACGGTGCTTTACTTGCAAATAGCTACAAAAGAGGAGAACAAAATCCCTCGGAAATATCTGATCTTATTAATTGGGATGATGAGAGCGTGGACGATATAGCATTGCTTCAAGTCGACGTTCCAGAGGCAGCTTGCCATTCTACCGAAAGCATCGTTTCTCGCGCCCAAGATACGATAAATGCTCTGTCAGATGGTACAAGGAATAAGTTTTTTAAAAAAAGGGAGGGACCAGCTTCGGACTACCCGAAGTTCACAGACACCACGAGATCACAAAACGTCGGTGGCCATCCAGGAAGAAATGGTGTTAGCGTGGATAGCAACCTATTAAATTTTACATCAGATGAAGATGTATGTAATTGGCTGAATGAGGATCCCGTCAGCGATTTGGAGTTGTCTTTTGCTGCAGAAGATGTTGAAAGTACAACTGAATTGAATAGCTTGTCCTAGTTTGATATCATGGAGTGTATGTAAGTAGCATTTTTATACGCCTAACTTTAGGATTACTTGGCATAGCTGCAAATAAGACTTTTACCGACCGGACAATTCGCTGGAACACTGTTAAGTTTCGTAGCAAGTAATTCGCTAAACTAAACGGAACTGTTGTGACAGGGTAGCCTTCCCCGGCTGTTCTAGGTGTTCATATAGTGGGGGGGTGAACGGCCGCCGAGTTGCGCGTGCGAGCAAGTGTCAAGTTGGTTCTCATTCAATTTATCCTGATTGGCTGAGAAAAGAAGTGCGATATTTTTAAGCCAGTCACAGTGTCTATCAATTTGACACCAGGGCGATCGCAATTTTACTCTCATCGCAAAGGCTTATAATTTTCATGTTTATCTACGTAGCAATTGCAAGTCTAATGGCGTCGTGGTTGATGTAATGCAACAGAGCATAGTATAACATGGATCCGTAAAAATAAGCAGAAAATTTTGGGGGGGTTACTGATAATGTTGTTGTCTGTTAAAGATATCTTAAGACACCTGTTAAGATTCTAAGAAGAGGACGACTGCGAGTATGAGATTTTCTCAGTACTAAGTTGTGCGCCCGTGAATCAGCGTCATTTTGGCGGGAATTAAAGTGATAGCCGTCGTCATTCAACGGCAGGTTTTAGCGAGAATGTCGTAATGCCGGAATAAGGTATAGGAATTTTATCATTTTCCGATCTTGGGCTAATTTTTCTGGTGAAAGAAGGAAAAAGAAGCTTTCGAGGGTGTGTATTTTTTGAGAATACAGTCGAACTTCCTCTAACAGCCACCTCTCCACAACGGCAACAGCCGCTAAAGCGAGTCCCCAGCTACCAAACCTCTCGACAACGGCTAGTTTTATTTCGACACTGATGAAAAAGTCAGAAATGACCATTAAATTTGATTCGTATAGCGCGTTGATGATTAATTGCAGCAGTTGTATTTTGATTGTATTCCATTTATACTGCTGCATTAAGCCAGAGGCAGCAAGCCAAATTGTCTACGATACTTACAGCGAACGCTGCGAACCTTGCTCGTTTTGTAACGGTAACATTGTGAGTCAAAACATTATTCAAGTTTTTTGCATATTTTATCTCTTCATATTACACACAGCTAATTCGAGAATGGTTGTCGGAAAAACTTTACGCGACAATCCCGAAAGGTATTCTGGGTGGTTTTGACTTCACTGTTTTTCAAAAAAATTTCAAAGAATGGTACAAGAGGCCAAGGACGTAATTTGCGAGTGCTAAAGGAAAGCAAGAAGAAGTGGATTCGACAACTCCAGTGTCGGGAACAATGTATTGATCATATCCGATACTACCTTTCGGGATTGTCGAGTGTACATTTTTTTGAGAAAACCTTTCTCGAAATAGCGGTATACATAATGGGATTCAGTAAGCATTAACTTAGCACAATAATCAAGTTGCACTCCTCTCAGTAAAAAGAATTTGTCATATTACGCCCCTACCTCCCCATAACAGCCACCTCTCCACAAGGCCGCTTTCTTCTGTCCATAAGGTGCCTATTGTGGAGAGGTTTGACGGTACGCGATAAAACGTTAAGTTAAATATCGATCTTGTCCTCGTCCTCGTCCTGCAATCTAAAGGTATCTAATGAGCGCAGCGCCAATCAAAATGCCTCGCATTTGTGTTAAATCAAACACAAATCCAGTTCCTTGATTAGGTTTTAATGTAATGTACAAATGCGAAGACGTATGAAGGGTTTCGAGGCGGCACGAAATGCTATCCGCTGTAGAGTGAACACAGCCTAAAAGAAAAAAAAAAAAGACTGACAAATGTTTTTCTTTGTCAAGGAAGAACGGAAGAACTTATCAAGATTTCACTTTACGTGGTCGTGTAATGTGTGCTCGTCAAAACAGAACACAAAACAATCCTTTGATCTGAACTATGCTTCCTGGAAGTCACGTAGAAATCCATAAAGAGTTCATTTAACCTAATTCTTTTGTTATAAAAGTATTAAGTTTCCAAGAAAGAAAAGAACAAAACAGCAATGAGCGTGGGATTTTGTCGGCGCCGAATATCTCACGTGAACAAAAACAAAGGAACAAAGGGACCAAATTTTGTTGGAAATATTTTATTTATATTATCATTGCCAGCCTTTGTTTCCTTACAGTTCAGTCAGACAGTGTGGTATTCACAAATTTATAAATTTCATGTTTATTTGCTATGATTTTTGTCGAATTCTTTTTATAGTATTTGTTGAAGTGTTCTTTCCTGTTACAAACGTTGTCTACTTCAGTAAGCAGTGTAGCATACTTTGAAATCTCGCAACAGGCGGAAAAAAAAACTTTTATTACCCTGTAGTTAAGTAGTCCATAACGTGAACAAGTAACAGTAAAATAAAAAGCTTGGTTTTTGCTGAATTCCCTGTAAATTTTATGAGACATTTTGGGCTTAATTTTCAGGTTATGAGGCGTATTATTTACTCACCTAATATTTCAACGTTATTTTGAAAAATGTTGCCAAATCCACAACTAAACGTAATCAGAATTCCAAAGCAAAACATAACTTTAGCAGGTAGGAGGTGCTATCAAGATTCTTCTGTTATACAAAGCTAGATGAGAACACATTAGAACACAGCCACAAGGTAATCCCAAAATTTTTGAATTTTTATTTGCGATTAATAGCCGTTGTTGGTATTTTTTCCTGGTCCCTGGACCTTTGTCGGGTGGATAATTTGTATTCAAGGCCGCTGAGTTCGCATTTTTTATGTTTTAAAAAGGTAGCTACGCAACACTAGTGTTCTAAAGACAGACGCCTTTATTGCGCTCTAAAAACTGGTGTGCGCATTCTTTATCCCCACTTTGGTGTTGAAATGTGCTGTTCAAATGAATCATAAGACATTTTGCCTGAACGAGATGATTTTACGAAACTGATAAATAAATGACGTTATCGTTATAGCGTTGTTGAATAAAATTACCGCATATAGTCTTATTCTCTTTAAAAAAAGGTCTTTATTAAGCTAACAGATTAATAATACTTTGTTATTGTTTTGTCTTGTGCTTACCTAGTCAAGTGTACCTTCAAATAATGAAATAAGCCGTATGTATATATATAAAAGGAACACCAAAAGGAAAAATTTCTCTCCCGGGGCGCCCTTCCCTCTCGTTCCTCTCGTGGCGCTCTTCCCTCCCCCACCCCCGTACCCCCGGGAACCCCAGGAGAGCTTACTCGCGGGCTTTTATGAAGAATTTGTTGGAACAAAACTAGAAAAAAAAAATAGGGCACGCTAGCACTTTGAAGAATCTGTAATGTTGAATAAAATCTTGAATACGAAAAGATGAAAATGTAGGTAATCACCTGTTTTTTCAGAGGATAGTTCAATGATGGACAGTTTGATAACTGATTTGATTTGATTTGTGTCGGTACTTTCTTTTTGCTCCTTTTATATATGTTACTGTTTAGTGTTATGTCGATCGCTTTGTTGTCTCGTTAAATTGTTGATTGTGGCTGCATGACTGACCTGGTAGACTGCGGGGCAGTTGCATAAATGTTAACGTCGGTCGTAAAAGCTAATTTTTCGACACTTAGCCCATTTTAACGCCAGACCTATGGTATGATACCTGAGGTGAGAGTTTATGCGACTGGCCTCAGGTGTAATTGTTAACACAAGAACAAGAAATGATAGAACTAAATTAGAATGAGATTTTAGGACGGCACAAATGGTTTAAAACTGGCAACAGAGACTTTTGAATGTCATTTTGGTCTGTCGGAGAGAAATGTCTCGGGTTTTTGACTGAAAGCCGAGATCTGGTACAATATCTGTAGGAGAAACTGGTCGCTGTTACATCAGTCGCCTTAGATAATGTGAAATTCCCTTTCTGGTCATATCAAGAACTAAGGTCAATTTAAGAAGATAAAGTACAATTTCCGATTACGAGGTCTTTAAAAGATGACTGAACAGTACCTTTGGCCAGCTCTATTTCATAACAGCGGTCTGAGAGAAGTTAGTCAATTGAGAAAATTTAGTTGAACTGCGTCTGGAATGTTGACTGACCGTGCGTACGTTTGTCGTAATACAGTCGACTCCTGATAACTCGAACCTGCAGGGGAAATCGAAAAATGTTCAAGTTATAGGGAGGTCGAAGAAAATAGCCGTTTCACGTTAGATTTTTTGACAAACAACATCAGCCTCCACTAGTTAACTATATGCCTACAACACGTCAATGAAAAATTCAAAATTCAATGTTTCGGATGCCAGTACACAGTTTTTTCCGACTTTTTCAATAAGGGCTCAAAACATGGTTCGAGTTATCGAGGGTAAGATTATATAGAAATGATCTGAGGGGAAACAATTATTACTTCGAGTTAGTGGAGGTTCTAGTTATCTGAGGTTCGAGTTACCGAGGGTAAAATTACAGAAAATTTATGACGGAAATCCAGGGGAAATCGATTTTGGTTCGAGTTAGCGCGAGGTTCGAGTTATCGGGAGTCAACCGTATTATCGTCGGTTAAAAAAGACTATTGAATCAGAATGGAAGTTTCATTAAAATTCGGCGTGAAGTGGTTGCCAACAGGTACCTTATTTTTCGTTTAAGGCACCAAAACCCAGCTCCTTTTTTCGGCCTTTTGGTGGCAAAATTCTCACCGGAATTTTCTTAAACAAGGAAGGGGGTACTGACAATCAAATAAAGGATTTTGCCTCTTTATGCACCGTGCTGAAGAAGTCTTTACTGCGTAGTCCAACTTGTTACAAGGCAGGAGAGAGTTCAAATCTTACGTTACATAGTCTACTAGAAAGTCATACTGATGCCCCTTAGTATACCTCTTTGTTCATTTTTGTTTTTCTATGAATAAACCGTAAGTTACCGCCTACGTTGCTTAACTCTATTAATTTTAGAGTTCGAGTTCGTCAAACGTTCCTGGTACTGAAATTGATGCCTTGCGTTCTTTTTTGATATAAAGTGAAAAAGAGGAATAGAGACTCGTCTTTTAGAGTGATGTATAAAATCAGCCCCGGATCTACAAT